GGAAAGCACTGGGTTGCATAGTTGGTTCTTTACTCTAAGGTGTCCAAAGTTACTATCAAGTGTTGGCCTCAAATTATTGTGCAACATTATTTCTTGTGGTAGGCATTTTAATTGCATTAACGTGATACAACCTGTGCCAGCAATACAGTACAGAAAAGACAGAAATTACTAAACTTTATTGTTCCAGAACAACATGATGGAGGTGGGAGGGAACGTAACCGCCTACCTGGAAGGATTTATTGAAGCCCTAAAAAGCAGCGAAGAGAGGTCGAAGGAGAGACTAATAGTCCAGAAGCTGCAGAAAATCCAGGATGCCGGAAAGTCATGCCTCAGGGGGATGGTACGTTTGGGTTGGATTTTCTGCTTGCTATTTTGTGTTGGTTAGATGACTCTAAAAGACACTGGTGTTTGCCCTGATTGCACTGAGAACAAGTGCCTGACTAAAGCACGCGGCTGCCTCCCGGTCGGGTGGCTGATGGAAGCAGTTTCCAGCCAGCAGCTGTCACCTGGCCATGGCCCTGGTGCCTCCTCTGCTCTGCTCTGCTCTGCTTCACCATGCTCACCTCTTCCCGATGTCTCCTTCCTAAGAGAAGGTCCATCACTTGGCGGAGGTGCCGCGGTGCAGATGGGGACCGGAGCCCCCCGCTGCTGCCCCAGGGGCAGAGGCTGCTCTCGCTGCGGGACGGCTGCACTAGATGCCACTTGCTGTCCCACCCCATTATCTTCCTCAGAGCCTTCGTGGTCTTAAAATTAATTATTAAGAAAAAAACTACAGTCAGGGAACAGAATGCAACTTATGTGTCCAGATTCTGTTCTTTTAACTCTTCTCTTTTCTGTCTGCTCCCAAGGGAGACAAGTGGGAGCCAGTGGAAGAGGAGGATTTTTTCAGTAATTTGGAAGAATTATTAAGGTTCCTGAATCACAACGCCCCTTCGGAGGAAACAGCGTAGTCTTCAAAGAAGTTTGAAGCACCCCTGGTCCAGCCTGCCGGGAGACCTGAGCTTTGTATAGCCTCATTTGAGCAAGGCTATTGGGAGCTATTATTTATTCATATATCTATTCATATTTATTTATTCTATTTATTTGTAGAAACTTCAAATTATTTATTTTTACAATGAAGAAATGCAATAATTATTTACTTTAGGAAACTGCTATTTAATGGTGTGCGAGGAGGAGCTCTGTGGATCCAGCTTTGGATCTGCAGTCACACTATTCCTCTAGCACACTACCCCAAGCCACAGCCCCAGTGCTCTCAAAGTTGGGACAAAACCACCCTGCGAGATGGGGACGGGAGCCATCGGTGCCAGGCTGGAGATGCTGCCCAGCACCTTCACCTCCCTCTCGGCCCCCAGGAGCAGCCCCAGGTCCACGGCCAGATGGCTGCTGGCCTCGGCTCCCCTGGGCTGCCACCAAACACGGCCAAAGGCGGCTCTCAAAGACGCCAAATCTTAGCAAACCCTTGAAAAGTCTGCTTGCAAACTTAAGGCATAGCTCATACCCACGCAGAGCATGTGAATGTAAAAATGACTTTACTAGTGCCCCATAGGGACAAACTGCCTAAACAAAACCTGATGACTAAGAGCCTGGTATATTCTATTTATTTTCAACCAAATGAAGTCTTCATACAATATGTTTTAATGCTGTCGCCCTCTGGCAATTTCAGCATTTTGTTCCTGCAGCTGAGGTTTCCAGATGCCTTCAGAGCAGTTTCACATCTCTTTGGGAGGTTAGGGGCATTTTCAGAGGAAAGTCTTGTAAAAGGATGCACCTGTTATGTTTTAAATTATGCTTAAGTACTTGTATTAACTGAAGAATATTACTATGCTACGGACGCACAGACAATCATTTTAAAATGTAAAAAATGTGAAGTGCAAATTGTGGAGACATGACTGTTCTAACAGCTGTGTGCTGCCAATACATTGCATATATGGTTTTTACAGTTAAATATTTGGGAAATTTGTATGCAGAACTCTGAAATGTAACCAAACTCTAACAGAATCTATGCAAAATAAACCTCTTGCACAAAGGTGTAACTCTCATAATTTTTTATTTTGTGATGTTTTGTGGTGATTTAAGGAGTATTCCATCTAGAAAAAGTTAGATTGATTGAATCAGGGTCTTCTACTGGTGAGGTTTTGACAGTTTTGGGGGGGTTCTATTCAGAAATACATAAGTTGATTATATAGTCTACAGATGATTGATACCCCTGTGTAGAGGATCACCATGAGGTCCAGATACCACCTAAGAACACTTGTGTTTTCAAATTTGGGTAAAAGTAGCACTTAAACAGAGAGTCGGGATTTTGTTTCTTTCTTTGCTTTCACTTCACGGCAAACATCTCACCACAGCATCTTTCCTTTTCCACCCAGTTGGACATCTCAGGAAGATTCACCCATAGAGAAGAAAGCAAACATTTAGCAAACAGACATAAAAATCCTATTTGGGGCTGGGATGGGGGAGCAGCGCTATCCCGCAGCTGCGCCTGCGTCCCTGTGGACCATCGGGGTTGTCGGGCACACACCTTCCCCTCCAAGGGGATTCTCCCACTGGAATTTCACCTTCAGGAAGCAATCCTAGCCCAGCCCGTCATCTTTACCTACTTTTGCAGGCATCAATGAGCACCTGAAAAAATTTCCCTAAAAACCATGATTCATGGAGGATTTAGCAGACAGCAGTGCTTGTGCAAGCCGTGGTGTGCCTGTGGGATCCCCCGAACACCACACTGCCTGCAGGAAAGGGCAGGTTGAAGAGGCAAAGAAATCCGTGCTGGGATATACGGAGATTCCTTAAGGCATATAACATGTCTAAAGAATTAGCTAATGTTTTTAATAACTGCTGAAGAGGAGTTTCTTGAGGGTGGGGGAAGACAGACACAGTAGTCATCATATGAAGAGGGAGGGAAGAAAAAAGAAACAATGGTAGGTTCAGTCATCAGCACCCTGCCTCCCCAAAATAGTCAAGAATAAAGCATTAACCACCACCTACAAAAATACAGAGTGCATAGAAAAGGAGGTTCAACATTTTTAGTGGCTTTAGGTCGAAGCATCTCATCCTGTGAGTGGGTGAGAGGGCAGAAGGAGGGTGACACCGGGTACATCTGTGCTTTGGGACGGTGCCCGCGTTGTCCGTTAGGACAGCCTCATGAGAAACCCGAGGGGACGGTCCAGCCCCGTCTCCACAAGACTGACATACAGCCTGCTGAAAAGCTGGTCTTAAAGGGTAGTCAACAGCCTCCAACTCAAAGGCTGAAAGCTCTTTGGAGAGCTGGATCCAACGTCCTGCATCCAAAGCTGCTCTCTTGTTTGGAATTGGGTGCGAAACAGAGGAACAGTTACAACCTTCCAAGGAGGAAAGGGGTCACCACCCTGTGGGATGCGAGAGGAAAGCATGGCAAAAGGCTCAGTTTGCTTCCAAAGCAAGTTTACATTTGTTAGCATAAATGTAAGGGGAAGGTAAAGCAGTGAGCCAGGACTACCAGGAGATGCTGTGGACCATTGCTCATGGTGGGGAAGGAAGGTTGGAAAATGGTTCCTTTAGAGCAGTCTGAACCCCCCCGTCATCGCTGCTGGGTGCTTGGGGAATGGCAGATACACTTATCCCCTGATGCTACCTTCCCTCGTTAAAATGCTCTCTGTAGACCAATTAAATTGCTAGCACTGTAAACCAGGTCATCTCACCCAGGCAACCCCTCTTAGGCTGGGGTAAATCACAGAGCAGCAGCTCACCTTGCTCCCGTTACCGCACGCGGGATGTGCTGAGGTTTGGCAAGCGTTTCTTCTCCGAAAACGAGAAAATAAAGATGTGTCTGCAGCTCGCAGGGGCCGCTCCCTAGGTGGCAGCCCTCGCCTGCCGCACGTCCCGCCGCCGCCGCGCCCGCGGCATGAGCCAGAGGAGACGGAGGGCTGCCAGTTTGGTACTCACTCGGGCTTTTAGTCAGCTTTTCTCAATATCACTCCAAAAATCTCCCAAGTGTCATAGAAAGGTGAAGGCAGATTTCAGACTAGCTGTTTTCTGAACGAGCCTGAAAAAGGGGTTGTGCGCCTCAGGTTCACCTGCAGCATTCCAGCTAGACCGTCCCCTCTTTGTACAAACTCCCAGTCTTTACTGGTCATTACTTTTCACTATTTTGGAGAATTTTGTGTGCTTGCTTGCTTATCCCAGCTTCTCAAAACTCTCTCTGCCAACACCCTTGGAAAGTCTTCAGCTGGTTACAAACGTGAGCAGTCCTGTTCATAATACCTTTGTTATAAAACATCTTTTTGGTACCGAAAGGCTACAGATCAAAAGGGTTTAATAAAGTACAGCAGATCCTTGCCTCTCATTACAGAAAAAGTTAAAAGCAAAAGAGCGCGGCTGCAGCTGTGTCGGGTCTGAAGCCCCTCAGAAGGTGCTGGCTGTGAGCAGGAGGCGGCAGTGCAGGGGCGAGAGGACTCGGTACCTACATCCGGCCCCTGCAGCATCGCTGAAAGATGCATCCTGTGCACAGCCGCATTCTTTCAGCGTCAGCCTATCGATAACATCTTGCTACTTCTCTCCAGCAGTTTTAAAGCTATTTGACATTAAGCCAGGGTATGTTTTCCAAGTGGGTGAGTATTAAAAGGCGCAACATTCTTCCAAATGGTATCTGGTGTGAAAATCATTCAATAAATGGATTTAGTAGGTGTCAGTATTTGCCTAATGGCTTAGATGAACGTACAGCATCTGGTGGATCTGGTTATTAAATCCTTGTACCGAACAAGATGGTGGTTGAACCTCTTGTCAGCAGCTTCCCCTAGGGCAAATGATCCGGAGAGAAGTGGGAGAAGCTAAAGGAGACAGACTGTCCTGTCCCTTCCTCTCCCACCTCCAGAGGTGAGGAGCAGAACAGACTCCCTAGTGTTACCAAGAGATATTGAAGTTTACAAAGGAGAAAGTACAGAGGTATCTTTGTTGTTTTTTACATCTTTCAGTGTGCCAGTTTAGCACATTTAAACATTCATTTTAGTGACTCATTTTAATCAACTCTACCTCAGGTTGTTGGTCGAAAAGAACTTGCAGATGCCAAATGCTACTTGGTCTCCTAACAGCTTGGTTGGGAAATGTGGGGGCCTGGACACCAGAGAGCCAAGAGCAGTTTGATATTAAAATTTTGCCCTTTGAGAGAATGATTCAGGCGTTTCACCAGACAGGTGAATCGAAGCAGGGTTGGAAAGTGCAGCCATGACAATCATTTCGCATGTGGTTGTTGCTACAAGGACCTTTCACATAGCACCGGAAAAGGTAAATACCTGCTTTGCAAACTGGAGAAGTTAAATGGAGAGTGAATAACATGGCCAAAGTTAACATGCAGACTTGTATTTTCTAGTAGGGACAACCCAAAACATATCTAGACAAAGAACTTAAAACATCATCCACTCTCAAATTTTCGTATTACATTTAGAAGACTATCCAATGTGAAATGTATCCCTGACTCAACAGCAAAGATTTCCCTAATCAAATGTGGTAAAACCCATCTACCACTTCTGCACTTCGTCAGACATTTTTCTATGAAATACGCTATCTAAAAATCAAATATAGATTTAGAATAGAAACTGGACCGTATGGGAAATATTTAGGCCAGACCCTCAGCTGGCATAGGTTGACAGGGACATTTGCAAAGCTCTGTGCTGATGTGCTCCAGCTGAGAGTCTGGCTCTTCGCTAACCCGTTCCAAATAGCACTTGTCAAGCGTATTTCTTCTTGCGCTATAAAAGGACTTCCTTACAGCTCTCTGCTGGAGTCAGAGCTGTTGCTGAGCGAGCAGCAGGGTGAGGCAGCATGGGCTGTTCCCGGGGCAGGTTACAAACCTCCCACTACGCTGCCAGGTGTGGTGGGGACTAATGCCGACGATCAGTGATTTCCCTTTTCTTGGTGACCAGAAGTAATTTCTCACTGAGAACTCCCTTGATGACACTTCTTTTATTAACTGTAATATTAATTGCCATCCATCATGGAACAAATTAGATTTTTTTTTTTCTTTAGAGCTGCATTATCTTAGAGTTATCTAAGCCCTGGCTCTGCAATCGCTCTGGCAATTTCACTCTTCAAATACAGAGTTATCTAGAAGTGAACTCCCTTGTGTGTTTACTCTGCTCTCAGCTGATTGCGTTGAGGAGAGCCACAGTCCTCCGAAAGCCGGGGAAAACCTGGCTCCCCTCCTGCGGGCACGCCAGGGTCCCACCCTACGGCACCCCATGACCGCGCTGCTGTACAATGCTCCGCTGTTGTTTCAGCCCTTCTCCCCACTCACTTACATGTTCCCACATGCATATAACACAAAGCACCTCATTATCATTGTGAAGTGCTACATGAGGGTCCCAGTATCATTAACGAAGCGAACATTGCCCCTGAGAATGAGAAGCTGCAGCTGACAGCTAAGATTGAAGATTTGCACAGCACTGTCATAAAAATCAGTTACGTCAGGGTAAGATCCAGCCCTCACACTTAGTAATTACGATGAACAAACAACCTTTTGTTTTCTTTTCAGGTCAAAGAAAAGATATTTGCCATAGAAATGTAGTCAGTTTTGCAAGGCTGCTGTATGTGTCTGTGCACCCCTCCGCTCCCACGTGCCTGCCCAAGTCACGCTGTAGAAATGCAGATTGACTAGGTCCTATGGGCTCCATCTTCGGCTGATATTAGCTCCAGAGGTGCTGATATCTTTAAACTGCAATAATTTACTGCAATACAGGATGTAGTCTCATCTGACGGGAAACAATCAGCTTCATGGCTGTGTTACTACAAGTAGAATAATTTCCTCAGATGTTAATACGTTCTTCTTTTACAATACCTCGTACATTATTAGTGCCCTTGCACGTTGCTCTTGCTAGCATTGAAGCTTTGCTCTGGAGTTAGAGGCTTTAAAGAGTTTACCAGAACATTAATCACAAATGTTTCTCAAATCAGATATGCCTCTAATTCAACTGCTCAAGTTGTTGTTGCTTTCCTATTTTAATGATTTATGAATGAGATAAGATAGTAATGACATCCTGCACGTACTCAGCTTCTCTATATAAGGGAGCTTAGTATCTGCCAGGAGAGACGAGCTTGAATTCAAAGCCCATTTCAGATAAAAAGAGTCGAGCTCCCAAATACACCACCTTTAAAATGTATCTTCACTTGTTCTTGTTACTATTTAGCTCTGGGGTGTCCAGCTACTTTCTTCCTCTGAAGGAATCGCCACATCAGCAGAACAAGACTAAATACACAATAATCGATGAAATGCTTTGCTTACTTGAAGCTGAAAAAGAGCCCATAAATGTAAATCATTTTCCACTTCCCCTGCCACAGATTTGCTTTTTGAGATGATTTCCAATTTGTAACTAACGGATTTCTATCCTTTTCAGGAGCAGTTCTTCAAACCGCTTCATGTACAGGTAAGAAGCTGTTGTTTCCTATTCTATTATTATCAGTCAGAGTCTCCAAAAGGAACTTAAAGGGTAACCTCTGGCATAGCAGGTCTGAGGACATTTAAAGGCAAGATGTAAAATACTAGCTGAGATGGGATTGCCAGCTGGGGAGCCCAGCCGGACCGGCCGGGCAGGGAGGGAGCTCCAGGGCTCGACCTCATTCCTGGCCACTTAGAGGCAATCGTGCTCCTCTTGCTGTCCCGAAATACCGAGACAACGTCATATTTTTAAAAGATTACTTGAATGTGGCTAATAACCCATTCTAATTGCTAACAAAGATAAATAGTATACCCTACCTCCATTTTTCTTGGTTCTTTTTAATGCTTTTAAACAGAAATTTCTGTTACTGATTGTAAAGCCTGGTCTCCAAATGACTGGCGATATAAGGAAAAATGGTTGAAGCAGCTCTCTGAAAGTGTTCTACTTCCAAGCAGACAGAAAAAAAAAAAAAAATCACTCTCCTATTTAGATGGAATTGAATCAAATTCCCAATGTTGTCACATTCACCATTGACAGAAACTGGACCATTTTTATTGCAAAGTTTCCAGTTATAGTAGTTATGAAGACTGTACTTATAACATAACTTCTTAAAAGAAGGTATAAAAAGGAAATCAGATAAAAGAAGTTAAGATTTCCAGAGAAAAATAACAGTTAGCATACTCAATATGATTTATCAACAGTTCTTTTAAGAAAGAGAAGCTTTCTGCTTGTAAACTAGAACTCTATTTACTTTCCTTTTTTCTCCTAGAACGAAAGTTGTGCACATAATAACACCGAAAAATTTATTCATGAACTAAAAAAGATATCTGCATGTAAGTGTATGAAGAGAGTTGAAAAAGACATGGAAAGGCTGGAAGAACACTGTTCCATTTTGAAGGTAAGCTTTTACTATTTATTTGATTTGCGTTTCAAATATTTTCTTGTAGTTATCCATTTATCCAGGTTTTTTACACCTGGTGATTTTGTTCAAATGCCTGGTAGCTCACTCAGACCCATGCCGAGCAATCCAGCAGCTGGAAAGCCATGGTCCCTTCTCCAGCTGGGCAATGCCGCTGCAGCTACTGGACTGCACCAATGCCTTCACCTTCATTTTTGCATAGGATGGAGGTTAAGGCATGATTCTTTAATTGAATCTATGGATGTGCTGAAAAAATATCAGGAGCTGTCCTTATGATTTTAAAGCAACCACCAAGCATTCCCTGAAAGTTAATTTCCCCGAAGGAATTAAAGAAACATTAGTGGAAGTTGTTCAGTAAGACTTCACCTGTCACTTAACTTCTTGCTCACTTTTTAGTAAATTCTAATTCCAAGTTTTGAGATTTGTTAGCAAAGAAATTGTTCCTCCTTTCTAATTTTGGACCAGGTGCAGCCTCAAGGAAGGATCTCGAGGTTTGTCTATCATGCACAAATTCATTCTTATATGGACTATATTAACGTAGTTCATTTAGAACTGCAGTGATGAAGATTATTTATTAGGTGCAATTAATAATGACCTGTACAGCTTGTCCTTCAGGAAGAACAGGGCGATTAATAGCAGAAAAGATACAGACCGGGAATACTACAGAGAAAGGAATCTGCCTTTTGAATACAAAAGAGAGAAAGACAGAGAAAATAAGGGAATAGAAAATAGGGCTTGCATGTGTTCTGCTGCTGGCTGTGCTTGCAGCAATGACTGTGCTTAGACATTTCCCTGGAACAGAGAAGGAGGCTTTAGGAAGAAAACCAAATTTGCATCAATTTGCTAATTACGGCAGGTTGCAGAAAAACCCATGTCTAAATCTATCATCTAACCAAATGCATGCTGAGCTCCACACTGCTGCAGCTGGATCCCCTTCTGCTCAGCGCTAAGAACAAGCGTGGTGTGATGTTGCTGGGATCCCACCGCGTGTCCCGCACTCCCTCTCTGTCCCCAGATTTGGGTGTTATGAGAGAAATGTTGGGACCTGACTCCCTTTCTTCTTGGGGAGCTTGGCAGATAACTCCCCTGCCCTAAAAAACAACCCAGAAAAATCTGCAGTACCATGAAAGTCAAAGACAAATAGCAAGGTCTTATTTGACTAATGATTTGTAAAAATTGTATGAAATGGTTTGGGGCTGGTGAAGAGCAGCTAGCCGGCTTCATCCTCCATCCCAGGGAGCTGAGGAAACCACAGAAAATGTGCAGCATTTGGGTAGAATTCCTCCGTAACTCGTGCATCGGTATCTACTCTTTTCCCTTAGAAATCTTCAATCAATGACAAAAGATGCCTAGAGACAGCAAAAACAAATTTCTCACAATTTAAAGAGACTCTGAAAAAATTCTTGAAATGGATCAACGGCAAGCAGAACTGCAGCAACATCGTGAGAAGTGAGTCGGGTTTGTATCCGGACGGCAAATGCAGCTGCCGTGACCCGTGGAAATACCGCAGAGGCTTGCTCTAGGGAAGAGCCACCCGGGCAGCGAGGAGGGTGGGTGGGAAGGGGGGGAGAAACGGCTGTTACAAAGCAGAATCTTTGCTAAGTGTTAATGCAAGTAGGTAAATTAAAACTGTACACAGCAATTAAAGCATGGCCAAGTGTTGTCATTTATATCATGCACGGTTATCAAATGTGAAATGTCGTTATGTCACCAGAGATACGTTTGAAGTTTGCGGGGTTTTTGCACAAAGGGACAGAAAATCCAACCCTGACACACAGACCGTGAGACCGTTCAAACGCTTCGGGGACTGGGGCCAGGAAAGGGTTCCCGCAGGTGGGTGCTGCCGGGTGGCTCGAGGGTCGGGACATTCAGCGGGGATGTATGGGACCCAGACAACCCCGCAGAGCAACCCTGGGGAGGGAAGAGACAGGACACCCACCGCTCACACCGTCTGCTTTCACCCGCCCAGCACCAAAATCATTGCTTTTACTTTCTACTGGTTTACGATAAGCTTTAACGTGAACCTGACCAAATAAACCTTGAGGTTTCATGTGCCTGCCACTTCGGTCGCAGTGTCTTCTCCCAGCATAATGAATAGCTTTTGCTTTGAATTTTTCAGATTTTTTCAGTATACAGCATCTATACAGTTTATGACTAGATCCAAACTGGTGCTCATCACATCCTTTAAAAAAGATACAGGGCATAATATTCCTTGCACGAGACCTCGCATACCCCTGCGTAAAATCAGCACAAACCAGGTGCCAGATGCTACTTTTCTGATATGTATTTGTATCTTTGCAAAACAGTCAAGTCTTAGGCACAGACATAAAAGGCAAGAAGTTTTTAAGAAATGCAAACTAGTGGTTAAGACCAATTCTGGTCACAGCAATACCAGTACTCCCAGTCTGTAATAACAATACCAAGATACCAGATACAAGGTGATGGATGATGGGTCTCCCAAGGGTTGCTGGTCTGACGCCTGTTTCTGTGCGTGCAGGCGGCAGTGATATAGTGGGTATCGCAGGCACTACAGATTTCAAGGGTTTTGTCCTCAAGACTTAGAGAAGATGGGGCAACCCAGACTGCTGACTTCTCTAAATACAGATAGAAATACAGTTTGCGATAAAAGTGAGCCAAAAGACAATTGTCATGTACCATAATGAATCTAGCTGGTATCAGTTAAAAATATGTAGTTCTTCTAAGCCCAGCAAAAGGCTGAGACAGGAATTTGAAAACATGACAGAGTCATCAAATGGTCTTCTAACTCAGAAATATCCCAGATATCTGTTTGCAAGATAAATCTTATCTTGGTGCTTAGACCTTTGCTGCCGCTGAACACGCTGCACCACCCTTGTACTCACAGCCTACCTAACGTCTATGGGTTCTAGACAAGGATTTGTGTTGAAGTCACTAACAATCTTGGAAATGACTTGTCATGAAAGTAGGATTTATCACACATGTAAACCCAGTTATAATTCATATACACACACAAACCAGGTGGTTTGCACCATTTCCTGTAATGCCTTAATCACTAACCAATATCCAGTCTAGCGCAGGATGTCAGAACTGATTTTTGAAGCTGACTAAAAGATGGTAAGAGGGAGAGAGACACAGCATTTATAAGTCACGTGGAGAAAAAACCTGTCCTATTTTCATGCTTCAGTCCAAACATAAGTAGTTTTCTAGCATGCCCAGAAGGCCCCGAACCATCAGACATCTCCAGGTTAAAACAGCAGTGGAGATGGGGTGGTACGGGTCTCGGGTTAGCTGTCTGCATCTTTCTGCATCCCATACAAGATGAGCACTTTGGAAACACCCACATCGCAGTGATCTTTGAAAATTGAAATGAAATGATAAATTGACAAAGCTCAATGCCTATGAAAACATTTGAAGTACCGACATGATTTGAATTGCAGCAGGGTTCTGAAGTGCCATATTCCAATAACCAGGGAAAGGATGAGTTTTTGTGGTTGTGCATGAAAGGATGGGACCTACACAAAGAAACAAACCTGCTGAATTACTGTACTCGAATCATTCACAGCACATACAGTAAATGCAACCAACCACTAACCTTCCACTTGGAGCAGCTGCTGAGTAATACCTGAATTTGCTCATATACTCAGCTCCACCTCACCTTCCAGAAGACTTTAAAAAGCACCAGGCTTAAAACAAACCACTTTTAAACTGGATATCTTCCAATATTTTTCATTCTTGAAGCCACTGTTTCATGTTACTTATCTGTGATTTTACCTTAGTCCCAGGGTTTTACTTGAGGGGGTGCAGCTCTCTCACCGCCCAGCGGGAAATTGTTCATTTCAAAGAACAATTCAGTTTAAAAAACAGAGAGCAATTGAAAAGCACTTAGTTAGGCTTCACAAACCCTAGAGATGAACAAAAGTGCTCCTGTTCAACCCTATGAGATAGAACAGATCAAATCACAAAATTTTCCAGAGCTGGCCTGTTCAAACCCACACCTTAAGGGCTGATCCGTATTCGCAGACTCTTACAAACCCAGAGACACCTACACCAGTCAGTGTATGAACTGGGATGGCTGACAGAAGAGTAGTGCTATCATCAGAAAGACATTTATTCTGCAGGAGTGCATGATTTTAAGGAGTTCTTAGAGGAGACCGTCTTTATATTACCTCCTCCGGTTAGGTTTGCTGAGATACGTTTGGTTTTTTTGCTGAGCACCCAGCCTGCACCAGCAGCTCCTCCAAGGTATTAACTTTAATGTAATTCAATTTAACTTTTAAAATTCTGAACATGACACTTGGGCTTACCTCAGAAACAGTGGTGTCCCATTGACTTGATCAGAAAGCCCTGTAGCACCCCCAGCATGATTCATATTTGGTTTTTTAAGTTCATAAAGGGGAGAAAAAACCCAACCTACCATACCCACTCTTAACTCTAGGTCATCACCCCTGTACAGATGTTTACTTTTCAGTACATCTACTTGCAGCCCTTGCATCAAGCAAATGCAGAAAAGGAAATAGACTTAGAATTAAATCTTGACCATTCAAATTAGGTTCATTCAATTAGCAGCATTTTCCTCAGCAACTTTATTAATGCGTTTATTTTGAATTTACAGCATCTCCCATATGTGTTTCCTACACACGTTTCCCTTTCACAGTACCAAGTAGGGCCAGGCGACCTCTGCCAGCGCTGGCACGACCCAAGATAACTCCAGATCATGATAGTCAATGTTTGTGTATCCAGTCTTCTTCCCCCACAATCTCAAATTATTTGGGTAATGAAAAATACTATTTCTTTCTGAAAAATGGGTCTTTGCTCATAGACCACCACAGCTGCAATGCACAGAAATGCTCCACCACTCCAGACAGGGAAAATTAAATCCCAGCTCATTACACAAGGCTTATGGATAGAACACTCAATAACTTAACCTCAACTTGCAAACTAATGAGATATTTGTCAGAATTGCAAAGGAGAAATGTAAGGCGATCTCGCCACTTACTTGCAAACCGTTTCACGTTCTGTTTCATCACCGCCTTCTTTCCAGAGGTTTCCAGATCACATGCGAGAAGTTTCTGGTATTCAAATGGAAGCCCCGCTGATATCTCCTACTACCCCTCATTTGACGTGCTGTGGATACACAGCTTTGGGATGCCGGGGGAGCAGGACATAGTGTCACACACCCGCCGGCTCCAACACGCTCATCGGCCATCGGGTGCCCGCGGGCAGCAGGGCCCGGACCAGCGGTTCCCCGACGTCCACACGCCGCCAGCTCCCGCCTGGCGTTACCAACCCGTACAAGCACCAGCAACGGCAGCTGAAAGAAGAGCGGAATGGCATATTCAGAAAACATCGCAGGAGGTTTTAACTGGAAACAAGCAACATCGCAAGTTTCTCTTCTGATAGATGAATCAGAATTTGGGTGCAAATTATAAATCAAACTTCAGTTCCTGCACTTCCAACGATTGCTGGATGAACATCACAAAACATGGCAATTACAGGACAATTGGGCCTTCCTTTACTTTCAGCTTTCTTATGTCACCTCAAAAAATCAGGTAAATGATAACCAACAAAGACTCACTGAGCCCGCCCGTAGTTCGTGCCGGTTAAACTGCACGGCTCACGCGTCGGGTAACGGACAGGTTTGCAACAGGTTGACCGCTCCCGATGGTGGGGCCGAGATGGCCATGCCCTACAAGCCTCAAGTCATCCACAAACTCCTCAAGACCAGACCCATACTCAGCTACTCTACAGGGTGAAACAACCAAGCAAAACTTCGCAAACAAGCAAACATTCAATACCACCCCAGCACCCCAGTGTCTTTTAAGGTATCAGAGTATGTATGATGATAAAACAACTGAAGCTGGGCAAAGTTTTTAAAAAATAAAGACTCTGATGCAAGTTATATTTAATGCAAATGCTTCTACGGAAAAAGGAAGAGGCATAATTTGGGATGATTACTGACACCATTCAGCAATCTGAAATTGCTTGTCGAAGCCCTCCTCCTCTCAGTTATATCAGAGAGCAGACGTGCACAAGTCTAGCCCACAGGATTTGACCCAAAGGAAACACAGTCAGATAACTTCAGCATGTAAATTATTTCTTCCCACGACTTTATCAAAGAGTGGGGAAATACAACAGGCACTGAGGCTACAGTACCTGTTTATCATAGCTGAAATATTTTAAGCTTTTTTTTTTTTTTTTTAAGGTACGCAGTGCTGTTAGCCACATCCTTGAGTCACAAAGGCCATGAGCTGTAGCGGGCAAAGAATATATTCTTATTAAAAGAAGCCACCCCCTTCTCCAATAATAATAGCACTAACTATGGGACAGAATGGAAAAATCATTTTAAAATACCATATTAAAAAAAGTCAATGGAAGAAATGGCAAGTATTAAATCACTCGTTTGAGCTAACGGCCCATCAGTAATCCATAGATGAGAAGTACGGTTACCATTGACAGTAACCTTATGTAAAAAGTATAAAAGAATTTATTTCCCAAAGACTTGAGATCTAGGGAAACCCAATCTAATTCTGGTCAGAAACAATCC